TATTAATGGCCGGCCATTAATGTTAACTTTTAAATTGAAATCAAAAACGTAAATATATTCCTTTCATGTGGGTAGGTGGTAAAATATAATAAAAGGCTAATATTATAGATGAACACTGCAATTAAAYTAAAAMAAWWTTAAATTTCATACCTGCAATTCAGGTTTTTCACTGAATTCTGATTTTGCAGTCCTTTTTTCTACCCAATTAATACTTGGGGCTGCTACATTCACACGTGCCTTTTAAATGATAAATCAACATTATGTATTAATTAAAAATATGCAATACTTATGATGTTTTACAACAACAAGTGTAAATCCACTTTTGGAACTTACAGTTGAAGGATCTTTCTGTTCTGCAATAGGGACAGAACTCCACATTGGTCCTCTAAAAAGTTTATTGAATCTTGTTGGGAATTCTGCACACATAGTCTCGTGCCAAGTAGCATAATCAGCTGGAACAGAAATCTGTTCATAACATAATAATACTATATAAATGCATGCTATACAGTTTTTATAGCAATAATATTATGCATGGGTTTCCAATAATAATTATTACATATCAAGTACCTGCATTATGTTGGTACAGTTAAAAAATTGGATCTGATAAGAAATCAGCCCAAATGGCATCCTGTTTAAGGGTAGCAGTGACTTGGCTATTATACGGGAAAACTGGTACACCAGGTTTTTCTTTTGCTTTTGCTGGAAGATCACCATTGCATCAAGTGAAAGCCTTACAAAATCAGCAGGGTTGGTGTCAATACCCCTTCTTGTTGCAAGTTTCAGAAATAGACTGTTGGCAAGCTTGACTGCTTCATCATCTGTCAGCTGATTAATGAATTCCTCATCAGATCTTGTTCTATAGTCATTTTCTACAGGATGTTCTTCTTGTTTCGTTTGAGTGAATTTGTGAACACCTGGTCCCAATCTCGAGGGCACCGGCTTGGGATCTAAATCTCCCAAATAGTGTGTAAGAGAGAGACCAAGGTGTTCCTCTGCTTCCTGGACAGTTTTAAATCGCTGTCTGAGAGAGTTAACTACTCTGGATCTTACACGAGTATCTATTAATAAATCAAAAAGTGCATATAAATATCATTTTTCAGTACAATACATAATTTTGATACACTTATGGCAAATGTGTGTACAAAAAAATGTGAACTTTTTGAATGAGTCACATCAAAAGGTGTTTACAAACATCAGAGTTAATTATAAACAACTCTCTTTGTCACTTTTTTTTCTGATATCAATAATTATCATAAATATGTTGTGATAATATGTCAACAAAATTTTAACTTACTGGATAAAAGAAAAGTTGATGTGGTACTCTCTTTTATATGATTTGCTGCATCTGACCAAAAGAAGTGCTTGGTTCTAAATCCAGGCCATGGACTCTGATTTCCTTGCCAGTTATAACAAGGATCAGTTTGTGCTATTGAAACAAACTCCACCAGCGCCTTATCTTCTTCGTCGGACCACTTATGGTATCTGACAGTCTGCTCAGAATTCTTTAAAACAGAYAAAGACAAGACAATTARATTGTAAGCATCTTATATTTAAATACTATAAATCTTAAAATCATCGAAGGTCTCCAACTACACAGTACATATTACACGTACAGAAGGGATCAAAAAAGTCTTTTTATACAATAAATTGTGAATTTAAAATGTAGTTTTGGCATACCTTATTGGTAAAGACAAAATTTCTTTTACCAGGAGAGCTTGTATATTTTATCTTCTTTTTCTTTTTTCGAGGCGATTTCGATCTCTCACCCACTGGCGTTTCAAATAGCCTTCTTTTGACTTGCGGGATAGCAGTGATATCACCGTAATTCATGGCATTTCTACACAATTAAAAAAAAAAAAACACAATTATATAAATATTTATCAATGTTCATTATTAAATCTTAAAAAAATCGATATATTTCGTATGTTTTTCCATCTAATAACACAGAAAACTACAAATCAGATTGTGAWAACGCACTKTGATCACTCCGGAAGTTCACGCCAGCACTTTTCACGAAATGCTGCACTTTGAAGGTTTTCACAGGTCAATTAGTAATCGAAATCGTGGAGACTTTTGGAGACTTTTTTGTCACCACGTTCACTTACTAAATCTTCTTTTAAACAGTGTCTTTCAAACTCAAATCACTCCAACCATTACTGAAGAAACAGCAGTTTTTTGAACCAGTCGTCATGTTACAATTTGAATTTGCGACCGGTACAACTGTGTTAAAATATTGTGTTTTTGGCTACTAAAAATAATAATTTATTCTATGTACATAGAGAAATACAAAGATTAATGGTATAAAATCAAATGCTGATTAAGCTTACCTTTATAAATAGTAAAAAGGATCCAGTTTTAGGCCATAATTTTAGGATCACRGCATTTGACCGGAAGTGGCCGCCATTTTGTCAACAAACGCACGCGCGCAAAGCGTTTGGGATACTACTTGACCCTCCTCTGCCGCCAATCTATATTTTGCTTTATGAAAAATTGAATAATTACAGAATAACATTATTTATCGCACTATTTTTCGTTTTTCTGGTTTTTTCAAAATCGGAAAGTTGCAAAAAATACTGTTACTTGTATTTTGACTTATGCCGATTTTAAGTTAATGAAAAGCAACAAAAAGACCATTCCATGCGTATCAAATTTTTTGAAAGTTTGAAAATAAAAGTTACAAATATCTGATATTTTGCATTTCGTTCGGCGTCAAAAACTTAGGGGGGGAGGGGGGGCATGAATCTAGGAGAACGGTGGACGACGATACGAACATGGCGGCTCTTGAGAGTATAGTACACAAAGAATTCATAAAAGATTTGGTGCAGAAAAGGTACACTCATAAACAAATAGGCGACTACATTAAGTCTTTGATGCCAGGGAAAAGAGGAATTTCTCCCAGGAGCGTTGAAAGATACTGTGCAGCTCACAATATACACTATCGCGATAAGAACATAAACAGAAAAGATGTCGACTCTATCGTTGCTGAAGCAGTGCAGGAGGTAAGTTACGATCTATAACTGAAATGTTACTTATTATTTATGTAAGAGGTCTTGCCTAGCAGTGTCAATAGCCTTTGCATAGGTCCTGAATGCACGAACGATGTGTATTTATTAAGTAAGTTTGGTTAAATTAAACTTAACTTAAGCTTAAATAAGAAAGTTAAGCTTAATAGTGTCTTTCACGT